AAAATTAATTATTTTAAAAATAAATAATAGTAAAGTTAATAATTTAATTCATTAAATACGGATATTAAATGTGATATATGGATTATATACGTGTTTAGTACGGGAGCCATCAAATGAACGTGGGAAAATGAAACGGCTTGACAATAATACGGATACGGAAGATTTAAACGGATAAAATACGTACGGGTACATATATGTATATTAAACGGAGTATTTACTAACTATGATTATGGGCGTGCTGGAGGATAGGAGGAGAACCTCCATTTATGTTTTGTTTTGATTTGATTTGATGTTTTGAAGCGTCACGAATAATTGAATCAACTACTAGCATATAGTCACCAATACTGAACCAGTTGGGCCTGAAATGAGGGCATGAGGCTAACAGACATAACAATTGATTTAAAATACATCTCGAAGATATTTGAGATTGAGGGCCCAAAAATCCCTCCTATTTTTCACCAAGCAGGCGTCATATTTTCACCTCCAATGTTAGAATAATTGAATAAACTTCTAGCATATAGTCACCAATACTGAACAAGTTGGGCCTGAAATGAGGGCATGAGGCTAACAGACATAACACTTGTTTTAAAATACATCTCGAAGATATTTGCGATTGAGGGCCCAAAACTCCCTCCTATTTTTCACCAGTCATGCGTCATATTTTCACCTCCAATGTTAGTATATATAAACCTAAAGTTTGGTAACTGTTGTAAAACAAATTACAAATTAGTCATTGTTTAACAAATTATAAATTAGTCATTGTCTAATAAATTACAAATTAGCCATAACTATTAAGCATCGGGGAATTATAGCCACAACTATCAAAATACAAATTAATAGGCAACCGTTAAGTTTTCGTTAACACTTCTGTTAGTAATGATACTAAACTTTTACGATGCTGAGCTGGCTCCAACCGTTGATTTTAATGTAAAACAATTGAACAATTATGTTTTGGTATCTAAATTTTATGATATTTTCGTACTTACAATTTTTAAAATTTATATATTGATGCAATATTTAGATTTTACTTGAATACATGAACCCAATCCACCAGTCCTTTTGAACCAATCCATGAATTTTATCCACCATAACATAAAAATATAAATTTAGTTTGTAGCAATGTTGTTAGAACTGAACCAGAGCATGACCCGGTAATGCGAACGGCTCGCACTTTAGTGGTCCAACCGACATTAGACCGTTTAAAAACCATTAGAGAACAGGTACCTAATAAACGTTATCAGTATAAATGATAAAGGATTCAGTTTGAGAGCCCGACGTTTTTTGTTTATTTCGATTTTTAATTTTCTGCAATTTTTTTAATTAAATTTAACGGTTGAATGACTAAAACCGGATGAGCGGCTCGATCGGCTCGAGCGGTTAACCGCCTTGGCCGCTCGTCAACCGCTACATAAAACCGGAACGAATTTTAGACTATTCCGAACCGATTTTGTGACCGGGTGGCGGTTTTACCGGTCGGGCCGAGCGGCTCGGCTCGGCTTTAATAACATTGGTTTGTACCATACAAGATGTTGTATCACTCAACTGTAGGAGAAGATTCGACCATTTTATATTTGCTCATTACATGAAACATTAAATAAATGATAAACGCGAGACGACTCTAAAATATTGCAAGAGCAAATTTATAAATTCATTTTTATAACCTAAACTTAAAAGATCTTTAGATTTATAACCTTAATTTATTTTTTTGGCATATAAGTCCCCAAAATATTGATGGAGCATTACATTTTAGTACCTAAAATTTTTGTGTATTAAATTTTAGTACCTAAACTTTTGAAGTTCTACAAATAGGTCTAATTTTTGTATGTGTAATTAAAACACTCTCGAATTAATGGATGTCAATACCCAACTCATACACATTTAAATTATGAAAGTAAATTCTCTCAAAAAATTATGGAAGTAAATATCCATACCCTACCCAAACTCATCTAAAAACTTCCAAACCCATATATACGTCAACCATACCTACCCATAATCAATGGGTCTACTAGAGTTTATATAAATATCATTTATTAGCCAAATTTCAAGATTTTTTAAATTGGATGTTGACCGCTATATATCTCTTCTCAGTCAATATTACTAACAAAAGTGCTAATAAAAAATTAATTTTAAACTAATAATACTAACAATATACCATAACGGGCCACATAATACATGCCCGTAGCCCATCTCCGCCCCGCGATAAGGCGCGGCATCGCCACTTAGTAAAATTAATTTAGTAAAAACAAAAACCGAATCTTCATTCAGAGTTCATAAAAAGAGTCCAGGTGTTTACAGAAAAACAAAAAACAAAAAAGAAATTAAAGGTGCATATGATCAATAGCTATAAGATGACACGAACCAGCTATAGCTAGAATTAATACAATGGTTCAGCCCTTGTGAATTGCGAGATACCGTTCACAGTCCTTTTCAAAAATACTAGGTGGCGATGTCGCGTCTTGTCGCGGAGTGGAGATGGCCTATTAACATGCATTATGTGGCCCGTTATTGTATTTTATTAGTATTATTAAGCTAAAATTAGCAGTTTTGTTAGCAGTTTTGTTAGTAATATTGACTTGACAATATGATATTGACTGAGAAGAGATATATGGCGGTCAGCTCCATTTTAATAACTTTTGAAAATTTTGGATAGGGTACGGGTGACGGGTGACGTATATATGGGTTTGCAAGTTTGTAGATGGGTTTTGGAAGGATATGAATATTTAGTTTCATAATCTAAATGTGTATTAGTTGGGTATGGATACCCATTTATTCAAGGGTGTTTTAATTACACATACAAAAATTAGACATATATGTAGAACTTCAAAAGTTTAGGTACCAAAATGTAATACACAAAAATTTGAAGTAATAAAATGTAATGTTCAATCAATATTTTGAGGACTTATATGCCAAAAAATAAATTTAGGTTATAAATGTAAAGATTTATTAAGTTTAGGTATAGAACCGTAATTTGCATAGTTGAGGCTTAATTCATTTTATGGTGATGTATTTGAGATGATAATTATTTACCTTTTTATAGAACAATGGAAACTATTTATTTGATATGTGTAGATACCTAGCCAAACATTCCATGTATAATTGTTGAAAATTCTAGCCCGGGTGAAAAGGCAAAACTCTAGAGAGAAGTAAAAGGAATACAAACTGGAACTCGTTTAAAATTTCACGCCTTCAAATCCCATAGTGGAAAATGACGACTTTCTTATAAGTAATAACCATATATATTTATTTTTAATTGGACTCGACATTGAGCTGGAAAAGTTAGTGGTTCATGGTTCAAATATTAGTTCTCTAGACTATTGGTGAGTCGTGTATGGACCCGTTCATACTTGTGATTAGAATATATAAAAATAGTATACTAATTAGGGTTAGACGAAGAAGGCATATAAAGAAAGGGTTATGGAAGGCGAGTAAAAAATGAAACGAAAAGAAAGTAGATGACGAAAAGATTTTGACCAATTCTTTTAGTTGGTCGTCAATACAACAGTCAATCGTTTCACCGTAGCAATTTATTGACACTTGGTTATGTAGATGTGGCATATTTTTGTTACATGTAGTTAATATGAGTTTGTTTAGTACCCCGTTAATATGAGTTTGTTTAGTACCCCGTAAATGTACCAAATGGGTTTATAAATTCGCTCTTGCAATATTTTAGAGTCGTCTCTATTTTATCATTTATTTAATGTTTCACGTAATGAGCAAATATAAAATGGTAGAATCTTCTCCCAGAGTTGAGTGATACAACATCTTGTATGGTACAAACTAAATTTATACTTTTGCATTATGGTGGATTGGATTCATGGATTGGTTCAAAAGGATTGATGGATTGGATTCATAGATTCAAGTGAAATCTAAACATTGGACCAATATGTAAATTTAAAAAAATTGTAGGTACGAAAATCTCATAAAATTTAGATACCAAAACATAATTGTTCAAAGATTTTACATTAAAATTAAATTTGGGGTATCAAAATGTAAAATCTACTTTATAGTGACTAAGTTGTTATTTAATTAAACTTGGGTATAAAATGTAAATGTTTTAGGCAACAGTAATCTGACTTTCACTTTATATATATTAAAATGTCGATTAAGTTCAAGCAGAGGGATTGAAAATTTAGACAGTGGTTAATCATTTTAAGCGGGATGGGTATTACCAAAAAAAAAATTTAAGCGGGATGGGGAATAATCAGATCAACTTAAAATAGTGATTGAACTACTATCTAAAAGTACGAAAAAATTTAGCAGACCATATTTCGATAACTAAAAGTCGAGAACATGATGAACATTGTACCTTTGAGTATCGGTTTGAATATATGTTGGATGAAAAAAATCCCTTCTTAATTGTATCAGAGCGATTATCTTGAGTTAAATGATTTCATATACACAATCAAAATATTATAATTAAATGAATGTTATATATTAATAAATACAAAAAATTATAAAAGATCTCAACACATGCTTCAACAGATATGATCACGATGTTGTTCCACAAATGCTATACATTCTATATACTATATTTTTAAATATATTTTTTTTGTTATCAATTATGGATCATATATCACTCACTAATATGCATCTTCAAATGAAAGCAACCATATATGAGTTTGAAATTTACACACGTTCGAATACCATGTGCCTAACAAATGTGGTCATACTCACCCGAATTCGAACAAAAAAATCTCTCAAATACAAACTACTCTGAGATAATATCAAGAATAAATTAGTTCCAATAACTTTGAAGAGATTAAAATCTTATACAAAGGACTAAATAATTGACGAACAAACAAAATTGGAAACCGCGTAAACTAAAATGGACGGCGAAAATGCTTAAGTCCCTGCGATACCCGACCATAATTGGGGTCTCTAGCTCGTCCATTGATAACGATACAAATGATATCGATCAAGGGGAAGGCAGATAGCAATAACTAAGAAACCACGCGTCTATCTTTGTATATATATAATCAGGATTACTCCGATCGAGTTAATCATTATCAGCGACCAGTGAGCCTCTAATATTACTGTATCATCATCTCTATTAATTCTCTAGCTAAATCAATCAATCAATCATTACTGTCCGATCATCACGTGGAAGAGTTCCAGCGGGAGAATGAATCCAACTCAGGCCAACATGAACAACCCTATTGCACCGGCGGCTTCTGCTGGGAAATGGACCACAGGCCTCTTCGGCTGCTGTGAGGATCCTGGCAGCTGTGTCAAAACAAGTTGCTGCCCGTGCATTACCTTCGGCCAAAATGCTGTCATCCTTGACAGAAATGATACAAGTAAGTTCTTCCCAGCTCAAACGGTCAGAGAGTGGTGTATACGAATACGATCCAATATTGAACCAACTGGTTGAGTTTTCGAGATTTTCTGTTAGAATCCTGGTTTTTGTTTGTTTGTTTGTTTATTTATTGATTTGGGTTTTTGCTGATGTTTGTACGTTACTGTGGCAGCTTGCTTTCCGTCGGGGCTTGTGTTTTGCTTGCTGGCGCATATAGGCGTGGCGTGCTTGTACTCGTACCCTTACCGGCACCGGCTAAGAGAGCAGTACGGGCTGCCGGAGCAGCCCTGCGGGGACTGCATATTGCACTGGTGCTGCGGGCCGTGCGCTGTATGCCAGGAGTACAGAGAGCTGAAGAACAGGGACCTTAACCCTTCCAAGGGCTGGGAAGGCCATGCTGCCCGGTTCACTAATGGCGGCGCCATGGCGCCTCCGCCGGTTGCTCAGGGCATGCCGCGGAATTGATTGATTTGATTCGAATCGATCGCAACTTGTGATGGTCTCGCTTTTTTACGTCATATTCGAGCTCTATCTACTCGTGAGTTGTGAAAGTACGTTTTATTATAATCTGATCGGTTGTTGGCCGGGTGACGAGAGATTATTGGTCACTATATGTTATCAGTGATGGATAAATAATATTGTGTTTCATATTGGGTTGTACGTACGTGTATGGAGCTTGTGTTAGCTAGTCTGAACTCGATCTCAAGTACTATATAGTTAACTATATATATATATATTACAGAGATATGTATATATAGCTTCTGATGTTTGATGTTGAGGTCTTAGTTAATTAGTTATATATATATAATATAGGGTTAATATTTCTGTATGGCCTGAACTTTGACCAAAATAAGCATCCTGGCCCGAACTATACATCAAAATAAACAATTTGGCCAGATCCGATTTTTGACCGTTAACTTGGACGGTCAAACGCGTTGACTAACGGTCAACCCGCCATGTCACTTCCAACTAAGCAAATTTCAATTAACTTTTTTTTAAGGGTTAACCAAGTTGACCGAGTTGACCGTTAGTTAAGATCCACCTCACTTGCCACGTCAGCTATCAGGGGAATAAAAAAATGAATTATTGAATTCTGATAATTTGGGGAAATTTTTTAATTAATTATTTTTCGTTATTATTATTATTAGAAAGTAAACAAAATTCAGAAATTCGAAAAAAAAATTCCCTGATAGCAGACGTGGCAAGTGAGGTGGACCTTGAATAACGGTCAACTCGGTTACCGTCTATTTTGACGGTCAAACTTGCCTCATGGCCAAATAAGGAAGTATGCTACATAGTTTATGCCAGAATAGCAATTTCCGATACCACAGACCAAAGTAGAAAGTTTGTCTATAGTTCGGGCCAAACTAAGGTATTAACCCTTTTTTTAATTTACACCTATTTCTATTTTCTTTCCTTTATCATTTAGAATGGAAAAAAATAATAAAACATATATTCAAATTCGGGACAACACCCAACAGACCCCCGATAAGCGGCATACGTTTTGTCCTGAAATTGAAAATGTGTTTTTTTTGTTCAAAATGATAAAGGAAAGAAAATGGAAATAGATGTAAATTAAAAAAAATAATTGAAATTTGCTGAGTTGGCAGTGACATGGCGCGTTGACCGTTAGTCAACCCGTTTGACCGTCCAAGTTAACGGTCAAAAGTCAGATATGGCCAAATTGTTTATTTTGATGTATAGTTCGGGCCAGGATGTTATAGATTGAAAAGATTGGCCAAGATATTTATTTTAGTCAAATTTTAGGCCATATAGAAATATTAACCCTATAATATATATACCTGTGACATTTGGGAATAGAATAATAAAATGTTGGTTTGTCTATCCCTAACTAAGTTTTGATATATGCTATACGTGTGCCTGCTGATAATTGTTTAATTTGCCTCATTTGTTTCCGATCGACTGCTTGACGGCCAGTTTCAACTGAATTTGCCTACACCAATACAAGTTTGTGGTTATATAGTTTACTAGATAAGTGGTGGCCGAGCTCCGCAACGGCCTGAAGTTGATTTTATTATCTTTGGTAGCGGCGGTCAACATTCAATTTAAAATTTTTGGTTATTAAATGATATTTACCTAAATTTAAGTAGATCTATTGATTATGGGTAGGGTATGAGTGACATATATATGGGTTTGGAAGTTTGTAGATGGGTTTGGATACGGTGTGGATATTTTCATTCATAATCTAAATGTGTATGTGTTGGGTACGGATACCCATTTATTCGAGAGTGTTTTAATTACACATAGAAAAATTAGACCTATTTGTAGAACTTCAAAAGTTCATGTACTAAAATGTAATACACAAAAATTTTAGCTACTAAAATGTAATGTTCCATCAATATTTTGAGGACTTATATGCAAAAAAAAATTTAGGTTATACAAACTGGAACTCGTTAATTTTTTTTTATAAAGAAACTCGTTCAAAATTTCACGTCTTCAAATCCCATAGTGAAAAATGACGTTTGTCTAAAAAGTAATAACCATATATATTAATTTTTAATTGGATTCGACATTGAGGTGAAAAATTTAGTGGTTTATGGTTCAATTATTAATTTTGTAGACTGTTGTTCAGTCGTGCATAGACTCATTCATAGTTGTGATTAGAATACATAAAAATAATTGTATACTAATTAGGGTTAGACGAAGAAGACAAATAAAGAAATAAAGAAAAGGGTTATGGAAGGCGAGTGAAAAATGAAACGAAGAGTAAGTAGATGATGGAAAGGTTTTGACAAATTCTTTTAGTTGGCCGTCAATACAATAGTCAACCCTTTTTATGTAGCAATTTATTGACACTTGCTTATGTAGATGTCGCATTTTTTTTTTGTTACATGTAGTTAGTAGAAGTTTGTTTAGTATCCCGTAAATGTACTAAATGAGTTTATAATTGACTTTTGCAATATTTTAGAATCGTCTATCTTTTATCATTTATTTAATGTTTCACGTAATGAGCAAATATAGATTGTTCGAATCTTCTCCTACAGTTGAGTGATACAGCATATTGTATGGTACAAACTAAATTTTTACTTTTATGTTATGGTGGCTTGGATTCATTGATTGGTTCAAAAGGATTGGTGGATTGGATTCATGGATTCAAGTGAAATCTAAACATTGAACCAATATGTAAATGTAAAAAATTATAGGTACGAACATCTCATAAAATTTAGATAGCAAAAATATAATTATTCAATGATTTTACATTAAAATTAAATTTGTTGTATCAAGATGTAAAATGTACATTGTAGTGACTAAGTTGTAATTTAATTAAATTTGGGGTATCAAAATATAATAATTTAGGCAACAGTAAAACTACTTCATCTTTATATATATTAATATGTAAATGTAAAAAATTATAGGTACGAACATCTCATAAAATTTAGATAGCAAAAATATAATTATTCAATGATTTTACATTAAAATTAAATTTGTTGTATCAAGATGTAAAATGTACATTATAGTGACTAAGTTGTAATTTAATTAAATTTGGGGTATCAAAATATAATAATTTAGGCAACAGTCAACCTACTTCACCTTTATATATATTAATATGTAAATGTAAAAAATTATAGGTACGAAAATCTCATAAAATTTAGATAGCAAAAATATAATTGTTCAATGATTTTACATTAAAATTAAATTTGTTGTATCAAGATGTAAAATGTACATTATAGTGACTAAGTTGTAATTTTATTAAATTTGGGGTATCAAAATATAATAATTTAGGCAACAGTAAACATACTTCATCTTTATAGGGTATCAAAATGTAAAATGTACATCATAGTGACTAAGTTGTAATTTAATTAAATTTGGGGTATCAAAATATAATAATTTAGGCAACAGTACACCTACTTCACCTTTAGATATAGTAATACGACGGATCGAAGACGGTCGGGACATCACAGTACTGTAGTTGTGAAGAATTAACCATTTGTTGCGTACGTTTAAATTGAGTTCCGCCTGTTTAAGTTGTTGATGATCTACAACTGATATTACTTCTTTCCGATCCACAGACAAACAGTCGTGTTGTTTGACATAAAAAATTGTTACATATCATGTCCATGCATGCATGCATGCATTAAGATGTGTATACCGTATACGGTAAGCATGAGATCTAACGGAACTCAGCAGATGATGGAAAGACCGGTGCGAGATTCAGAAATAATGGAAGCCCAATAGGCGCACGTTTAAGTGGTAGACCCTTGTTGGACTCGTTGCTTTCTGGCCTGTCCAGTCAAGCACGTCTCAGCAGTTTTCTTACCGCCATTGTCATGTGTAAAGACGACGATGGTGACCAACAAAGGCAGAGGAAAAACAGAGCCCATGGAATGGAATTGGGAGCCGCCGCCCATTGGAAATTGTATACGCAAAGTGCTTCGCTTTCAATGTACTTAATTCCCCTTCTTGACCTTTTTGGTTTCTAGGGGGACCCCAAGATCACCAAAACTCTTTGGGTAAACCAGTTGAATTTTAGGGCAGCATGTTTTGGACTTGGGATGCTTTGGGTTGGGAAATGAAGATAGGTGTTTACTAACTTTAAAGTGAAGAATTTTTTTTGTTGTTGTTGTTTATGCTGGTAAAATTTCTATATTAGGTTGATCATTTGTAGAAGTTTTTTTTTCCGGTCAGATCGTCGATACGGTTTTACAAACACCGATTGAGGTGAAAGGTCACCACACCAACAACAACAACGAGGCTGGGCAAAAGAGAGCATTCAAGTGAGTCGTCAAAAGGCTTCTTCTATAAGACATGGTTTGTTTTCGCTTAAAATGTTTAAGAAGCAGTTCGATTTCCGGTATCTATGTTCGACAAAAAACGAAACCAAAATTTGAATCTATCTGATTTGGTTTTACTGCCATTGGACCAAATCCCTCCCAAGTAATATCTATCCCAAACCAAATACTGATATATGATTATGAAGGACCAAGGTCAAACACTCTGCCAATTTAATACGAATCGTCACTTGGAGTAGGTAGACTCATATGAGTATGCAATTTAAAAGAAAAACATTAGAAATATGATTTTTTCATATTAAAAAACCAAGAAATAACTATAATATGATGAATGTAATTAAATTATTCTACAAATAGATTTTCTCACCAATTTACAAAGTCATAATAGTTTAAATATGAGATAATAAAAGTAAAATCATAGGCAATTTCAGTAAAATTACTTGTAATTTAGGCAAAAAAAGGTTGAGAATGTGGTGGATCAAAACATGTCAAGTCAATGAGAATACCAATGCCGCCCTGCCCCACCTACAGGACATGTATTCAGTGGCGAACCCAGGATTGTTGAAGAGGAGTGTCGCCTAATGAACGAGTATCGACTATAACTATTAAAGCGGTGTCGGAAATCTCGTATTAAAATTTTTTGTACAAAAAAATACAGGTTCTTGGCGAAGGGGTGTCAGACGATACCCTTAGCAACACATAGGTCCACCCTTGCATGTATTACCCACCTCCAAACAGATCAAACAATAATGTAAAACGGGTTAGCTCGAAATTGTGTCCAACAAGGCATGTTTACCAACAGTTAAACTGGTTTGATTTTACTGGGTCCTTACAAATTCTACTCAGTACTTCACCCATTTTTTGTCGATCATTGTAAAGTGTAAACCTAATAATACTGTAAGAAAAAGTAAATCTAATGTCATTACTTGTAAGAGATTAAAGTGTAGATCACGTCAGTCACCTACCAAAATATTAAAAATTCAGTCTTCCACACATCCATCATGGAAACCAAAACCCATCAGTTTCTACTTAAAGACGCAGAAAGACAACCCGATTACCATTTGAGGGAAGCTAAAACGAAAACTCCCACATTCTTGCTTCCTGTCTCCTTCCTCCCTAGCAGCTAGCTCCCCCCATTGGCATTAATTCCTTTGCTTCGAAATCAAATTACAGACTTAATATTTCCATTGCTGCGCCTTACTTCGGCGGCATGAGTAGCAGTAGTGGGTCAAGCCAGGACGATGCAGGGGAGCTTCGTAAAGGGCCATGGACCGAGGAAGAAGACGCCCTCCTTCTCGGTTTCATTTCCAAACATGGCGATGGTCGCTGGAATTCCCTCGCTAAACGTGCTGGTAAGTGGTGATTTGCAACCAGAATTACTCAAATCAGTAGCATTTTCTAAACTTGATTTAACAGTAAAGTTCGATTGAAACAGGGTTGAGAAGAACTGGGAAGAGCTGCAGATTAAGGTGGCTTAATTACCTTAACCCGGAAGTGAAGCGCGGGAACCTCACACCGCAAGAGCAGCTCTTGATTCTGGACCTCCATTCCGAATGGGGCAACCGGTAATTAGATACCAATCATGTTTAATTTGGACTAACCATCATCTGTTAGTTTAACTGTTAAATGATTTTTAATTTGGGTGGCGAATTCAATAGGTGGTCGAAGATAGCACAGTTTTTGCCCGGAAGGACGGACAACGAGATCAAGAACTACTGGAGGACTCGCGTTCAGAAGCAAGCCCGCCACCTCAAGGTGGATCCCAATGGAGCCGTTTTCAAGGACATTGTCAAGTGTTTCTTTATTCCCAGGTTGCTTGAGAAGGTTGAAGGTTCACTTCCCGATCCTCCTCCTTCTTCAGAACCAGCGGGAGCCAATTTCAGTCAAAACCCACAAAGCTTTTCCGACTCTGTCGCGGATTACATTTCTCCTCCGCCGGAGTTACTTCCGCAGCTGCCAGAGCAGGGGATTTTGCAGCCGCCGCCGGCGCTGCACGATGTGCAACGGAATGCTGGCGGCTGCTGGGACGTGGCGATGGAAGCCAATTGGGTGGAGGATAGTCTAGCTGGATATGAAATGTGGAATATGGATGAGTTATACGACTTCTAATTTTGCGAGGGAAGAAGTTCAAGGAAATCAGAGCCCCCTGTTTTTATTTTTCCCCTTTTTTTCTTTTGTTCAATCGAGCTAGAAGGGCAAGGTAGAATTATTAGAGACATTAGCAAAAATGGTGGGAAATGTACTATATATTATTGAATGTCATATTTTCCAGAACCCACCAGTGAAATGCTGACTGAAAAAGCTTTGGGTTATTGGGTAGTACTGATTTTCTTCTTTTCTGCTTTCCTTTTCAACATCGACTGCTGCCTGCAGGATTCCAAGCAACCAACGAAGAGGTGAGGCAATTCTAGGAAGCAGACGACATTTTCCCGCCCTTCCATTATTGAATCCACCTACTAATGGACTAGAGCTTTAAAGGGAAGACTTATTTTTTTAATGACGAGTCAAACAGCCAGAAATTCTCTTACTCAATTATTAAATTTAAAAAGAAAAAAATGTAAGCATAGTGCGAGATGATTTGCAGTTCGACGGTTTTGTTTGACTTCCCCCTTCTCGGTCCTTTCGCTTCTCGGAGTTGCGTATTCCTCTTTCTGTCCGCTGAATTAAAATGACCCTCCACCTTATCGCCGCCTTCGTCGTCACTCTAGCCTTATTCGCCGTTGAATCGGCCGCTTCGTCGCCGGCCAATCGCCATTACAATGCCGGGGATGACGTTCCCCTGTTCGTTAACAAAGTCGGGCCCTTTCGCAATCCTAGGTACTCAGATCCCACCACTCGTGTAGAGCTCAATTGTAAATTCTCTGTTCCATGAATTCAATAAGTTTAAAGCTTGCTGCTTTTTTTTTTTTTTTTTGCTTTTGGGTTCGCAATTTTATTGTGTTGCAGCGAGACGTATGAATTCTATGAGCTGCCATTCTGCCGTCCAGGTTAGCCCTTTTAGGTACTCGCCCTCAGCTTTCTTCGACAAAAAAGATTGCAGCCTTTTCTTCCAATTGGCGAGCTGAGTTGGTATTAAAGCTTGGATCTTTGTTGGGATTTTAGATCGTGTCATTCAAACGAAGCAAACCCTAGGTGAAGTGCTGAATGGTGATCGTTTAGCAAATGCCCTCTACGATTTGAAGTTTCTGGAGGCCAAATCCAGGGCGACCCTATGCCAGAAGAAGCTTACACAGGGTGATATCAGAAGATTCCGACAGGTGATTCTCAATGACTATTATTTCCAGATGTACTATGATGATCTCCCATTGTGGGGTTTTATTGGGAAAACTGAAGAGCAGAGTTGGGTTCTTGAAGATGGTAACAAGTTGAAGTTTTACCTGTTCAAACATGTCAATTTTGATGTGCTCTACAATGGTGATCAAGTGATAGAGATCAATGCTCTTGGTGATCCGAACGATGCTGTTGACATAACAGATGATGCTGCTGAACTTGATGTCGAGTTCACTTATTCGGTCTCCTGGTATGAAACTTCAACAGTGTACCAGTACCGGATGGCTAGATATACAAGGGCTTCGCTGCTCGCTGTGCACAAGAAGATTCATTGGTTATCGTTTGTCAACTCGGCTGTTATCCTTCTGCTGTTGATGGGATTGCTTATAGCATTCTTCTTTAGGCGTCTTAGGAATGATCTGAGAATGTAAGCAAATTTGTTTTACTCAATGTTCCAAGTTTCATGTAGCACATTCCTTAGAAATGATCTGAATTCTGATTATCTATCTCCATTCTTCTTTGCAGGTCATCTAGCGGAGATGACGAAGGAGAAGATAAGGAGGTTGGATGGAAGTATGTTCATGGTGATGTTTTTAGACATCCACAAAACATGTCATTGTTTTGTGCCTTCTTGGCCACAGGAGCTCAACTGTTAACCATGTAGGTGTACGATTGCCAAGTAAAATTTGTGTGTGCAGTTTCCTTTAAGCTACATAAATTTCCATTCGTTTAGGTGGCTTGTTAAAATTGTATTCTGATCAAGCTCTTTCGTTCATTACTATACCGATTCCTTTTCCCAGCATTAAATGGGCCAGCTGATTGCATTGTCTTGAATCTTGATACTGTATTGCTGAGCTTCTGAAGCTAGACCTTGCTAACTTTGCAATAATAATTCAGGGCATTCCTTCTATTTGTGTTGGCCTTTGTTGGTACACTCTATCCTTACAACCGAGGAGCATTATGCACTGCTTGTGTCATGGTTTATGCTCTTACATCCGTTGTTGGAGGTTACATTTCTGCTTCATTTCATAGTCAATTCGAAGCAACAGGATGGGTAAGACCTAAGACAATTTCGACCTTCTAGATACACTGTTTCCTTTCTTGACAATGCATATAATTCTTGCTCTTTCTTTTATCCATATCTCCCCAGGGGAAAACTGTATTCCTTACTGGAATTCTCTACCTGGGTCCATTCTTCATCACAATGTCCATTCTGAACACAGTTGCTGTCTCCTATGGCGCCACAGCTGGACTTCCATTTGGTACCATCATGGTGGTTCTCCTCATATGCGTGTTCTTAGCCTTTCCATTGCTCATATTGAGCGGGATCATCGGATACACGTTCAGGTCTGAATTCCAGCCGCCTTCAGCTCCAAAAAGACACCCTAGAGAGATTCCAAAATTGGGATGGTACAGGAAAACACTTCCTCAAATGCTACTTGCTGGACTTCTACCTTCCAGTGCAGTTGCTCTAGAGTTGCACAGTCTCTACACCACCTTTTGGGGATACAAAATTACAACTCTACCCGCGATCTTGTTCGTCTCATTCGCCATCCTGTGCTTGCTCACAGCAATCTTGAGCATTGGGATGACTTACATTCAGCTCTCCGTCGAGGACCACCAATGGTGGTGGAGGTATGATGATGCCATTACATTTCCCCTTCAATTCGATCTGGCATCTCGGTTTAGTGTATATTGATAAACGTTGTCTTACTGTTATGATGCAGAACGGTGTTGCGAGGGGGGTCGCCAGCCATATTCATGTTACTTTATTCCGTATACTTCTTTTCCAGGTCGAGTATGAGCGGTATTTTGCAGACATCCTTCTTTTTCGGCTACACTGCCTGCTTGTGCTATGGGATTTTCTTGATGCTTGGTGCAGTAAGTTTTTGTGCTTCCTTTGTGTTTGTTTGCCGGATTTACCGTGCTGTTAAATACGAGTGAAAGCATATGTAGTTTTTTTTTTTTTTTGTTAGAAAGGACTGTCGAAAGCTCTGTTGTTGCAACTTCGATGGATATTTGTTACTGTAACATGCATCATTTACTCTTCTCTCCCATGGAGCTTGGGAAGGGGAGACTTCTTGGGTTGCAAAAGCCTTTTGTAAGCTGGTCGTATGTGGTTACCCTTCAAAGTTCAAATCAAACTGAAATATGGGTTTTGAAGGTTGGTTGGAAGTATACTAACTTTAGCCATTCTACTCATCAACCATATGGGTCACTTGCCCAGACCTTGGCCATTTTACTTGTTGGAAAAGAGAAGAGGTCCTGGCCCATATGCCTTTTTGGCCTTATAATAAATACTTTATTCTAATAAAAACGATAAAATCATCGCGTTTTTTGATAATTTAGATTGACAAAAAGACCCAACAATTTAGTTGAATCGACTCTTCTCGACAGGAGGAAAGTAATTATCGTCACCATGGGGAAGGAAAGAAGATAATCAAGGAAAGGAAGGAGGGATCGTTGTGGGTATGTGGGATAAGGCAGCAGGCGCGATAAATTAGGCATTCGAAGCAATTTGATAGCCATTTCTTTCGATTTTTGAGGAGGGAAATCGTATAGTCAGGGGGGAGAGGCATAGAGTGGTTGTGGGATAGGGTTTCCTGCTAGGGAATTCTGGAAGAAAGGGGTATATATGTTCGGGGAGGATATTAGTGAATCTGATCCCCGTCCGTCACCCATAACACGCTAATTCGAATTAATCCAAACTCGACTCGTTGAGCGTCAAAAGCGAATTTTACCTGCATTGACTACGTTGAATTCGGGCTGATTCTCGGATTACCAGGTGCGTTTGCCAAGCCTATTGACAAGCGTAAAATTGAGCACCCAAGAAAGTTGTGCAATATATCATTTTTTTGTCAGATGTCTCTAAGAGGCGAAGCAGTATATTAAACTTTTGTAGGGCAAATCATAAAAACTAAAAAGAGATAGACTTTGGTCGATCAAAAGTTTATTTAAGAACAATAGAGTATTTTTTGCCATGATAGGGACAGCCCAATCATACTTACAATATGCAAAATCGAATAAAGAACATTGTGAATAACGTAACACCTGAACCTCTTATAGAATAATTTCTTTATCATATGCAACAAATCCTTCCCGTTGACCATACTGGCCGAGAGCACTGGCCGAGAGCACTCTGGTCGAGCTGGCCGAGAGCACTCGACAGCGCTGGCCGAGAGCACTCTGGCCGAGCTGGCCGAGAGCACTCGACAGCACTGGCCGAGAGCACTCTGGCCGAGCTGGCCGAGAGCACTCGACAGCGCTGGCCAAGAGCACTCTGGCCGAGCTGGCCGAGAAATCTCGACAGCAGCTGGCCGAGAGCACTCGGCAGCGCTGGCCGAGAAGTGCACTCGGCAAAGCTGGCCGAGGACTCTCGACCGCCTGTGCGAGATCTCTCGGCCACCTACAGAGGCTGGCCGAAATTTCTCGCCTGGGGTGGCCGAGTGCACTCGGCTGGGCTGGCCGAGAGCACTTGTCGGGGATGAAATATCGGTTTTTTCGGTTTTTTCCCACGCTTAATCCCACATTTTTTCCCACTGCCGACATTTCCTGACTCCCCTCGGCCCTCCAATGACGATCCTAGAACCCCCCCTCGTCATTGGCCTCGGCCGCCCATGGGCCACAGGGGGGCAGACAGGCACCACCCCCCTATAGTGCTCTTAAGGTTTTCTGCACACTGTCAAAGGTTGACATGCCAATGTCCGAGGAGTCACACCCCCATAAAATCTTCAATTTAAGGAATTTTGATACCAAATTTTGCATGGACGTTAAGGACAGTAATTCTAGGTCTCCCACCAAGTTTCACGAATTTTTTATGTGTAGATTATTTTCTACAATTTTTTTATTGTCGAAACTTTAAAAATTCATAAACCATAAACCACAACTCCAAATTTCGTGAAATTTGTTCTGGAAGCACCTTACTATGTGTACAATTGAATGGCACAATAAAATTGAGAAAGGCCCGACAAAATTTGATGGGGAAGATCGAAGAAAGAAACCTTTTCATTCCTCCTCGAAAGAATGGAGAAAAGAAGGGATTCATGGAAGAGCCTCATGCTCTCACATGGTGGGAAGGAAACATTGATCAAAGCTGTCCTCCAGGCGATCCCAACTTTCATTATGAGTGTCTTCCTTCTCCCGGTCACTCTTACAAAGAAGATGGACTCTCTTATTCACAGGTTCTTCTGGTCAGGATCAATGAAAAAGCGTTCGATCCCGTGGTGAAAAGGAGAGGTCCTGAACGACCCCAAAGGTGAGGGTGGGGTGGGATTCAGGAATTTTAACCTGTTTAATCTATCTCTGCTTGCCAAACAGGGATGGAGGCTTCTTAATGACCCGGATGCTCTCTGGGCTCGTTTGATGCGGGGACTTTACTTCCCTAACGGTCATTTCCTCTCGGCCAAGAAGGGAAACAGGTCGTCGTGGATTTGGGCAAGCTTGTGCGATTCAAGGAAAGCACTGGATTTGGGTACGATCCGTGTCATTGGTGCAGGGGAGGAAACATGCTTTCATAGGATCCCTGGGTTCACACTCTCCAAAGTCACAAGATCTCGTCTCAGATGTACCCGCCTTCTCGGGTGTGCGACTGGAAGAATGGAGACGGCTCGAAGTGGAACATGAGTCTTATCCGTCGTCACTGCTCACCGGAAGAAGCCGATGCTATCTCACGCATCCAGATTGGCCCAGAAGGTTCCCCGGACAAGTGGGCATGGAAATTCAACTCTTCAGGGGAATTTTCAGTGCGGACTGCCTACCATGGGATAAGGAAGCACTTTAAAGAACAGAACCAGCCGTCGGTCAATGACATTAACCTGCCAGCTGATGACGACAAATGGAAGTGGCTTTGGTCCTTGAAGCTTCCACCCAAGATCCGCTTCTTCATGTAAAGATGCTTACGGAATGCTCTCGCTACGAAGCTTAACCTTCACCGTCGACATTGTGCTCCTAACCCTTCTTGTCAGCTTTGCAGTGGGCCTGAGGAAAATGCTCTTCACTGCCTTTTTTTGTGCCCACATGCCGCTGCTACCTGGCACAAGATGTTCCCCTCCCTCGATGCTCCTCCTAATCTCTCACAATGGATCTTTTCCCTGAGGGAGGAAGATAACCTTGACTCGTGTCGAAAGAAGATATTCTGCTTGTGGAATATTTGGAAAGCTCGTAACGAGTTCATCTTCAGAAGGGTCGTTCCAGTCCCACATTTGACTGCCATTTGCGCCTTCAGAGATGCAGCTGAACCTTGTTACAATCCTACTCCCGTTCCTTCCTTCACTCAGCCTAGAAACATTCCACCACAATCATGCCCACCGCCATTGTTTCCTCTGAAAAGGATTTTCTGTGATGGTTCTTTTGATCATGTGACACAGGAGGCGGCTTTTGGATTAGTTATTACTAACTCCAATGGACAGATTTGTGATGGAAAGGCTGGAAGGATCTCTTTTTCTTCCCCAATTGAAGCAGAGGCACATGCAATTCTTGAAGCTTGCCATTGTGCACTTGAAGACCCGACCCCCTCAGTTATCATGTCCGATTGCAAAGTTCTGGTGGACGCTCTCAACGGCCAGCCTGCTGATTGGCCTTGGCGTTGTTACGCAACCCTTTCCTCCATCTCCAGAATCTTGCAACATTCGACAAGGATTCGTGTTTCTTTCACGAGTCGTCTCCACAACAAATGTGCTGATTGGGTGGCTAGAAACTGTAGACTTAATGGCCTTCATCCTGATTGGCTTCATATTCTCAATGTTGTATCTGCTTTGCTGTAACTTTGCTCTTTGGGGAATGAATGAATGAAATCACTTTTCAAAAAAAAAAAAAAAAGACCATACTGATGATCACTTATGCATCACTACAAAATAATACATTAGAAAATGGCATCAATTGCGATCATCTAGAAGATCTAAGAGTTCAATACCAAAAAATCATCAATTGCGATCAATGCAGTCAAAATCGCGATTATATCTACAAGCGAAAAAGGGGTAAAATCGTATAGCGTAGAATCAAAGCGTAAAAGCTTAATTTTTTAGCGCATACTGTAAAATAACTAAAAATCTATTAAGTACGACATATACTATGTAAAATATGAGTGCACAAAATTTGGATAAGTTAATAAATACCTACAATTCATGTCTAAGAGCTACTCTTAGCATCTTAACAATAAGTTCATAAGCATAAATCTTAACAATAAGCCACCTTCCCCTATGTGCTAATGAATTTGGGAAGGGCCTACCCGGTGTATTAGATTACTCTATTGAAGCTGAGAATGCATCTAAATACCCGGTATGTATTGTTTCATCTCAAGTGTATTATACTGTTGGTGATTTACCTTTAAAAAGTACTTTTTATAATTAATTTCATGAAACATTTAGTGAACTAGAAGTGTAAAATCGTAAAGCATTTTGGTGAACCAGAAGTGTAAAAGCGTAAGATTTTAAGGTTTAAAGCGCGATTTAGTCCGATTTTACACACCAAAGATTTTACATGAAAACGAAAGCGTTTTGGTGACCTAAAAGCGTAAAATCGTAAGCTTTTAAGTTTTAAAGCGCAATTTTGACTACATTGATTGCGATCAATCATCTAGAGGATCTAAGAGTTCAATATAAAAGGACCATATATATCATCATATATAAGTATATGTGTCAAAATAGAACCCGACCCGAGTAACCCGCCCGATCAACCCGACCCGTAGCTCGACCGCAACCCGAATTGACTAAAAGTCAATGACCCGTAACCAGCTCGACTTGTAACCCGATTGACCCGCAACCCGATTGACCCACAACCTGAATAACCCGCAACCCAATTAACCCGAACCTGATTGACCCGTACCCGATTGAACCCATAACCCGATTGACTCCCAATCCGATTGACCCGAACCGGACTAACCCGAACCTGCCTGATTGACCTGAATAATTACTATTGTATAATATATAATCTTTCAATTGAGAAAATCTATAACATTAATATAGTGCATACCCATTAAAATTATGCTTAATTTAACTATTCGGAAAAATTATCAATTAAATACAAATATAAAAGTAATGTATTTGGAAATTTGATTATTATAATAGAAGTAGAAATTTTTCAAATTTTTAGGAAAGTTGATAAGAGGGAAATTTGACACTTTCAATTTTTGGAGAAGGAAATAAGTGGTAAATTTTTGTGGTTGAATTATGGTAATAGAACTAGGGTAATTTGTTTTTTGTATTTTCAACTTTTCGAAAAGCAAAGAAGGGAAATTTTGTGTTTTATTTCTTAGAAGAGAGGAGGAGGGAAACTTGAGTGCTTTTAAATTTGGTGTTTTTAATGTCCAATTAGTGACACTCTATAAGGCTAATTAAATTTACAATAGGCAATGTCTTAGTCACTAAATGTTAAACTTCTTAACTATCATATATAAAACATTGTACTACAACCTGCATTTGAGACAGTTCGAATGATGTGATTGAGATAAGATAACTCATTATATATTCTCAAATCTACTATATCAAATTAGTAATGTCCTATAATGTGATATTAATATTTACTATGGACAATGTCTTTGTTACTAAATATTAAACTTTTCTTAGTAACATCACTTGAACCATCATAACTGCATACTATTTTACATTATAGATCATATACTATTATTTACCAATGTGAATTATCACAATCTTTACTGTTATGGGTTAAGAGTTTAACATTTAGTAACTAAGACATTGTCTATTGTAAACCAATGACTAATTGATTAATTAGATTTGATAACCTATCATGAGTTATCCCATCTTCAATCACGTTATTCGAACTATCGAACTATCTCAAATGTAGGTTGTAGTACACTTAAACTAGCACCCATCATATGAAGTTTAAGATATATATGTATGAGAAATTTTACAATGCGATATAGTATTGGTGCTATAGGATTTTGCCTTTATGGTACAACTTAAAATTGTACGTTTACGTTATGGTATAACTTCAGATTGTTCCTATACTTTTTGTACAAATTCTTTTATTGTACAACTTGAACTTGTACCTTTATGGGATGGTACAACTTCAAGTCGTAAAGTGTACCATAACATAATGGTACAAATTGCTTTATGGTACAACCTAAACTTATACATTTAATATTATGGTACAACTTTAAGTTGTACATTAAAGCACCAATACTATATAGCATAGTAGAAGTGCTCATATATGTATATATAATGAGAAATTTTACAATGCTATATAGTATTGGTGCTATAGGGTTTTGCCTTTATGGTACAACTTAAAATTGTACATTTACGTTATGATACAACTTCAGATTGTACCTATACTTTTTGTACAAATTCTTTTATGGTACAACTTGAACTTGTACCTTTATGTGATGGTAAAACTTCAAGTTGTAAAGTTGTACCATAACATAATGGTACAAATTGCTTTATGGTACAACCTAAACTTATACATTTAATGTCATGGTACAACTTTAAGTTGTACATTAAAGCACCAATACTATATAGCATAGTAGAAGTGCTCA